GCCACTGCAGAGCTGGATATGGAGCTATGCAGCGGGCCGCATGTGAGCCTCCTTCTTCCCCTTCCCTGGACAGCCGGCCAGGTGGCATGCACGCCCCGCATTGCTTGCCCACAAAGACCCCCTCAGAGGGACACGCCTGCCCTAACTCCCCGGCCCTGCACCTGGCTGCAGTGTGCCACTTGAGGCCAGCAGCACCCCCCTCTCCCTCAGTCCCCAGCCACCTTCCCCAGCCCTTCCCCACAGCCCCCAAGTCCCGCTTACCTCTAGGATCCAGGAGCGAAGGGCATGGTTCTGCAGTGGCAGGGATTGCCTGCAAAGCCCACCCCCGCCCAAGCCCCCAGCCAGCACGTACCTGCCACCACCCTGCACTGTCAAAGAGCTGTGCAGTCAGTCGCGGGGCATAAGCAGCAGTCCAGTGGTGGCGTTGCATGCAAGCCCTGCTTTCCACCCCCCCGACCAGGTGGCACATATGTGGCCCACACACAGTGGTTGCCACCACACTGCTGTTGCCACACCCTGCACCACTTGCCCACAAAGCGATTCAGGTGGTCATGGGATGGTAGCACAGGGCGCAGTGGCAGAGTTGCAGTGGTGGCCTCTGGGTGGAAGCCTCCTGTCGGGCTGACCAGCATGTTTGTGGCCCACAGGGTGGCACCCCTGCCCTCACCCCTCCCCCAGCCCTGCTCCTGGGAGTGGGCACAGGGGCACACTCTGCTCCATCCCCCATTCTTGTTCTATTCCCCAGCACCTTCCCTTCCCCACACACACTTTACCTTCTGGGGTGGGTGTCAGTGCCTGTGGGTACAGTCTGGGCGGCTGTTGTGAGAGGCATCAGGAGGGCTGTTGAGACTGGGGGGGGGGAAGTGTGGGGCACCAGCAGCACTAGGAGGGGTTTGGGGGGCCTTTAATTTTTATCACGGATTTTGGGTTTTTAACCAGAGAACTTTGCAATTTTTAATCGGAGAAAACCAGGATCCCTGCTCATTAGTACCCAGAGGGGGGTACACAATATGCATAAACTCCAAGTGCCAGAGGGGTGCAGCTACCGGGGCTGGAGAGCCCAGCAACAAGAGGAGATTGATTAAAGCTAGTGCCTCCAAGCCAGGCCTAACACAGTGGGTCTAGGCTAGAAGGCCTAGCTATATAATGGGGGAGGAAACTGAGTAGGCTGAGATTCCAACAGAGGGAACAATATTCATATACCATCCTTGAGGCATGGGGCATGATAAAGGAGAGGTTTTGGAGCCACACATTTAGTGCTTAAAGTGTCCTGTGAGGTACTGACTTAAAGTGGGACTTGGCAAAGGGTCCTGGAACCCACAGGGTTTAGTGGGGTTCAAGAGGACTGGCTGCACAGAAAAATGTGGGTAGCCTCCCTACTTATGACTTTTACCAACAAGACATGGCAGAAAAGATTACAAGGTGCCTGCAGGGTGGAGCTGGCACAGTCATGGAGCCCAAGGGCATCATGGCCATCCCTGGGGACCCCATATTGTAGCAAAGTGAATGAACTTTGGATGTTATAATCCATGTTGTTTGGTCCTATAATAATGTGGTCTAACACGGGAGTACAGAAAGCATTTGGATCTATTGCAAGGCCTAGTGGCTTGGTGAAACTGGGATTTAGGTAGCCTGTTGCTTGATACTGTTTGAAGCTGGGGGGGGGCTGTCTGTAAGCTTGTACCAGTGTCTCTCCCATGGCTATTTTGAGACCCATCATCCTTTTCCAGGAGGGGATGGAGGTTGTTAATAATATGTTTAAGGTGTTCAAGCCACCGGTTGTAGGTGACAATGAGAAGAACCCTGTTGTCCTTGTCTAAGCCTATGACAGAACATTTTAACCTCTCTGGACATCCCATTGCTGACCTGAGGCTATTCTCAGACAGCTAACTTAAAACAGATTTTAATGAGAAACTGCAGAACGTGAAATCATCCATTGCCGGGGTGTGTTGCGTATGGTTTGAACATGGATTCTTATCTCCATTACATAGGTTAGCTTTGGTGATTCCTTTGTTCCTATGTGTTTAAAGCTCATCTCTTTCGCCTCCCTTGTCTTTTGTATTCTAATATCTTCTTCCTCCTTATACTCTGCTTTTTGCATATCCTTTCACAGTATCTGATTAAATGAGCTTGATCTCACAAAAGCTTGTGGTATAAATATGTTCTCATTTGGTTATTCTATAAGATGCAAATCTACCCTGCCTTCTACTTATCTATGTTAGTTATCTCATCATAGGCTATTAGACTGGTCTGTCACAACCTTCCTTAGATAAAACCATGTTGCATTATATCCACAAAGAAAATTCCTGCCCAGAAGAGACTTCCATTTTCCCACTCCTCTGTGAAATGAGAAACATCACAACCAGAAGGAAATATTCTACATCCTGCTTGCCACCAGACAACTTTGAGGTAAAAAGACTGTTCGAACTTCTCTGTGCCTAATCTGCACAAAATGAGCTATTCCAAACAGGAGATTTTACCACACTTCAGCTCTCCTGTGAAATGTGAATTTTTACTTCTATCTAGGAGAACTCTTACAATCTTTGTTCTCTGCTATGCCTGAAGAAGGCTGCCTGTTCCCAAAAGCTTGCAAAAAAAGACATATTTTTGCAAATATATAACTTGTCTAATTAATAAGATGTCACCTGCCACAAGTTCCAATTCCTTTTTGCCTCTAGACCAATACGGCTACAACCTAGGTACTTGTTGCATTTTTATATGCAATTTTCTGATTACTCTGTCCTTCAATATCTGTTCTAAAATCTTGCAAAATTAATTAAGTTAAACCAACGTGTCTGTAATTGTCTGGTTCATTTTCCCCCACTTTCCTTTGACATCAGCACTATATTTACTGTTCTCCCATCCCAGGATATTATTTCAAAATTTACAGATCCACTGAAGAGCCATGCTACAGGAATGGCTATTTCATTTGCCAGTCTTTCAGCGTTCTGGAATGGATCACATTAATGCACATTAAATTTAGTACCTCCAGTGTGAAGGTGGCTGTACATGTGTCCAAGTAGCCTCCGCACTCTGTAATTCCAGCGTGTTGGAGCAGACTGTATTAACTGAATCTGCTGGAGTGCCATGCTCCTGCCAGCCCCTGCATCTCATGTATCAGTGCCCCTGCACTTCAAAATGGTGGCAGGGGATGCTTTATCTAAAGTACATTTTGATGAACTCTAGATAAAGCACCCCAGTCACCATTTTGAAGTGCAGGGGCACTGATGCATGAGATGCTCCAGGCACTCTAATTAGAGTGGTTCTCAAAGATGCTCTAATTAAAGCACCCTCCCTCACACCTGGAGCATTTGTATAGACACCCTGAGATACTAAATTAATGAGCATTAGGATGCACACAATGTGCAGTAGGGCATTTGCACACTTTTTTTAGTGACACTTCATGTGCAGCAGACTACTGCACACTAGTGTACTGTCATGGTTTTTTACATGAATCTTTAATGCACAGTAAAATAGTCTATTGGGCATTAAAGCCCACATGTAGATCTGCCCACTGATTTCATAAAAAGGCCAATATACCTTCAGCCTCTGTGTACAAAGATCTTCCTGTCAGAGGCCAGACAAGGGCTACAGCTCTAGTGAAAGAGCTGGATGTTGCCTACAGCTCAGCAAGCCATTGACCAATTAGGGAAGCCAAGAGAAGAACAAAAGAGTGACTAGGCTTTGCTGGGGTAAAGCAAATTAAAAATGTATATCTGTCCAGTTAGGCTAAGGGACCAAAAAAGAAGGCAGGGGCTACGGTATCAGCTCACAGTTACTGAAGGAGGCACACAATCACGCAAGGCCCTACCTTGCATCATCAGGCACCTGAATACTTGCTAAATTTGGGCCTGAGATTCTAGAAGAACCACAGAAAGCTGCTACTGTTTGTGTTTGGCTATTGCTTTTCTGCCCAAAGAGGCAGACACTGGGAGACTGATGTGGAGACCTGAGATTTTGCAATAAGAAGGAAGCTATTATTGTCATTTTACAGGTGGACGAACTGAGAACTAGACAGTTTAAGGCAGTATTTCACAATGTGAGCATCTAGAGTTAGATACCAGAATCCTTACTTGCCCCCTAAAAACAAAACACTTACCCAAGGCCATACTCGGAGTCAGTTTCAGAGTTAGGAATGAAAGCCAGTAGGGATGAGAAGAATCCACAGTCCAAGAGGGATAAGAAGAGTCCAAGAGCAGGACACAGCATAATTATCAGGTGTATAAACTGGACTATAGAACTGGGAGCTTCATAGGTGTCTATGAGAGTGAGGCACACAGGCCCCACTGAAGGTTGGGAATCTGAGGCCCCCTTTCTGTATTGGTACCATCTCAAATAATGGAATGACTAACATACCAAGTGAGCATTGGGCAGCATCAGCAGGGAGACTCCAGAAAGAAACCCCAACACAATATGGTTAGGTTAGAAACGTGTGCAAGGTACATAAGAGGGAGGTAAGAGGAATGTATTCAAGCCAGATGGACCATTAGTGCATGTAGTTTGACCTCTAGAAAACATCACATAATCTCCGCTGTATTAAACCCACTAATTCATGTTTGACTAAAGCAACTGAAAAACACAACTTGTGTCCAGCTGTAGTTGGAAAGTGGGATGCTATTTCTTTATCTAAAGAAATCAAGAAATGGAGGCTGCTGCCCTTCCCTTGGCAGTCTGTTCCAAGCTCAAATATCCTCCTATTTAAAAATGTGAACCTTATTTCTAACTTGAATGTTTTTGGTTTCAGTTTCCAAAAGCTCAAGTACTTCTGTCAGATTTGTAAAACAGAGAGGCATATGAATCGCAGCTGGATGAATGATGCTGAAGCTTTGAAATGCACATAGTTTCAGTTCCCAGCGGTTTGGGAGCAATACCTGGTGCATTATGGTACACACAAGTGTTTCTGTACACTACCATTCAGAAGTTAACTAACCACAGAAGTAACAAACTTACCCTGGTTATGTTGCAGAGTTTGGCAGTGAAGGTAGGGACCTGTGTTGTCTTCTGTTGTGCCTGTCCCTGAGAAATCACCTGGAAATATGGGCTTGGTCTCCTGTTCTGATAGTCCTTGTCTCTGCTGCTGGGGTTCTGAGTTTGAGTGTGGGACTAGGCACTTCCAAACCACCTGAGAGCCTGAGGAATAGGGCAAAGGGCCACTTGACATGAGTGGCTGAACTTCTTGGGAGCAGCTATAGCCAGAGGGTTGACCATAGTGAATGTGAACATTACAGGCTTTGTGCATGTCTGAGTCCTCTGGAAGGTGAGCCAGGGAAGGCTCCAGGTGGCCCTTCTTTTTCCTTCTGTGATGACGACTTTGTAAGCTGTATTTCTGGGACAGCTGGAAAGGGAATGAACCAGCTGCTCCAACTGGTCTGACGGCCACCTTGCTGAAGTCAGACTGGTCTGCAGACAAGGAAGGGGTTTTTGAGGGGTCATGTCTTTGCTGCAGACAGGAAGGCTGTCCTGAAAGAAGTGCATCCTGAGGTAAAGAGATCCTTTCAAGATGCTGCGGGCAGTGACGAACTTTCTCAGCCTTCTTTTGTATCTGAGCACTGTGCAAGCCCATTTTGGCCCCAGAATATCTGGACTTGCGCTGGCCAGAGTCCTGGCCTGGTCTCCCAGATGGACATTCCAGGCCTTTCCTGTAGTGATGGTGTCTGTGGTGGTGATAATGGATATGGCTAAGTATCTGAGGCTGGGGCAGGGCAGCACTGCCAGTCACCATAAAGTCCAAAGACCTTGGCCTTGGCTCTCTTGAAGGCAGGGGCTGGTCCTGGCCATAGTCAGTGGTTGGTCCTTCAGAGCTGCAATACACTAAAGGGTCATAGTCACTGCTCAGAGAGCTGCGGAAGGTAGAACAGCTGCCATGGATGCCCTGGAGGCTGACATCTGTGCAGTTCAACATGGAGTCACTGGAGGAACCATGACAGGGCCCCGAGCTGGAGTCACTGCCTGGACCATCTGCCAGATAGCCACTGTGCTCAGTGAGGTAGCTCTCTCCTGAGCCACTGCTGTTTTGCTGCCTCCCATGACTGGCTGCCCAACGAAGAGCAGTAGCATGGTGCTGCTTTGGTGTGAGGGAAGTCCTGATCCCCAGACAAGAGGACTGGTGCTGAAGGGGACAAGTCATGTGAGAAGACAATGTCTGCCCACATGCTGGAGGCTTGCGGTGCTGCTGAATGAGAAGACTTTGGGCCAGTGGGGGCTGATGTCTGCATGTGGGCATAGGGCCTGCTGGCCTGTATGGCATGTAGTGCACGGTGTTAAAATCCAGCTGGGAGAGCTCTGGGGAATGGAAGAAGGGGTTGCCACGGGGAATATGTGAGGAAAAGCTTCTGGGGCTCTGGCCATAGACATGTGAGAAGTGATAAAGGGCATGTCCTGGATGCTGCTGGAAGAGGTGGAGGCGCTGTCCAAGCTCCAGGTCCTGGGGGTTCTGGCTGGAATGCATGGGCTGAGCAAGTGGGGTCCTGTCTAGCAAAGAGAGAAGGGGCACATACTCAACGTGCTCTCTCAGCACATCTCCATCCCAGTGCCTGGGTTTGCTGAAAGTCTCTCAATACTGCTCCACCCCTCAAACCCAGGGCCTGGCAAATCCTCCCTGCTGCCCTGCACTCCCCTTGGGAAGTTCTCTCAGTCCTGGTTTCCTTGGTCACCATAGCATCTGGTACCACATTCCCACTGCTCTCAGCCAGTGCCCAGCAGCCCTTCTCTGATGCCTAGATGCTAACCTGTGTGTGATCTGGAAGTATGCACTGCTGCTGATGCTGGTTCACACCCACTGCATCTCTCACAGTGTGTCTTCATACATGCAAACTCTCCCAGGTACACACACCTGTGAGTGTGCACACACAGACTGCCATATACACTCCTCACATCCTCCCCACCCATCTCCCTTCATGCTGGGAATCCCCTTTTTTCTGGGTAGCATGCTTCTGCTGGCCTTCTGCCCCTGTAGAGTCCTACCGAGGATGTTGAACATGCAGAGTGGACAGGTGTGGTGCTGCTGCAGCCAGGGGTCAACACACTCTCGGTGGAACTCATGGGAACAGGAAATGATGCGCAGCTCCTAGAGAGAGGTTAGGGAGTGAACTAGGCAAGTTCTGGGCCTAGACATGGGTTGAAAGATGTCTGTCTGTTCCTGGGATCATCCCAGCCTTACACCCAGGGTACTTTGCAATTTATTGAGCAATAGCACTATAGTGTCTCTGGTACTGTGTTAAACCATAAACTGGCTTTTCCCTCGCAGAAGCCCATGTCACCAGCCCACTCTGAGGGATGCAGGTTCCTTTGCAGTGCCCCACCTCTGGGGTTCCAAGTGGGAAGCACATTCTGTGGGTCTCTGGAAAGGTGCTTGCAGCAGCTTCCACTTTTAGGAGCCCCCTGGAGCGTCTCTGCTGGTTCAGCACCCCAAACTATGAGACCTTTACAGAGGAAATGGACTCATTCCACTACACCTGCCAACTTACTGGCAGCCAGCATGGGCCACAGAGATCTGGTGCCACCTGGCAAAGCAAGACACAGTCCTGGAGCAACAGAGCCACACTCTGGGCTAGCTTCCCACCACAGTCACAATGGCAGTCTGCTTCTTCATCTTAATCTGAAGGTGACAGAGGGTGCAGCTATACATGCATTAATGTGCCCTTTCCAATTCGCATTAAATGTAGCACTTCCAAGGTAAAGTACTAAATTAATGAGCATTAGGCTGCACTAATGCACAGTAGTGCATTTGCATGCTTTTTTACTGATGCTTAATGTGCAATAGACTACTTTACTGCACATTAGTGTAATATCACAGCTTTTTACATGATGCTTCAATGTGCAGCAGCCGCATCTACACAAGATACTGACTACAAGTTGTTACCTCACATTCATTTAGTACTGGCATACATGTGTAGCATCTCATGTAGACGCAGCCAGTAAAATAGTTTACTGTACATTAAAGCTTATGTGTTGGTGTTCCCCAAGGGGTCAAATTTGGTCCCGAGAAGCAGGACTGAACTTGTTTCAGGGATTGTGGGGAGATGCACTCTTGGCTGAGCAGCTAGGAACCATATGGGACAAACAGCCAAAGAACTGACAGCCTTGCAGGGCTCCTTTCTGTTGAAAGTTGTGCAATAGCTGGGCTGGCTACAAGGAACAAGTCCAAGGGATCCTCTGTCCCCTGGGGCACATATCCCTTTTGCTAGTACCAGAGGGGACTGTGCAGCTGAGCAGGCTCCTTCAGACAGTGCAGAACCATGACTGTCCAAGCCAGTGTGTTCTCACAGCTGCTCCAGCAGGTCATGGGGTGAATTCTGATCTTACCTGACCCTCACTGAACTCCTCCAGACAG